GGGGGGGGGGGGGAGCAATAAAGAGGTGGTAATTTCCCTAGAACTTCATTTTCCTCATACAATAATAGAAAATATGGAGGAGGCTTGTCATTTTAAGTTAGTGTGCCATTATGTGCTCTATTTTAAAATATAAAGCTGCATCCCAGTACATATTCCTAGGATACCCGTGACAATAGCCATAAGCAATGTAAAAATGTTAACAGAGTCTGTAGAAATAGCCCAGGTACGCACACCTTGACATGACATTTCGCTTACATGAGATTAAGTCATGTAGACTTACTGCATTATCTGACATTACATGGTTATTATAATAAAGCTTGATTAATTGTATGTAACAGGTGATAAGACTGGAAAATCTAACACAGCCTAATGTCAGCTATCGCACAAGCAGGATGTCACAATGGGTGTGGGCACCTTAAATCACTACAGCCTCAGGAAAATTTGAGAACTCTGACACCGTAGTTAATTCTTTTCTCTTATTTCTTACCATCTGTATCAAAAGTATGTAAAGACATCCATCACTAGTATTTAAGCACATTAAACAAGTCACAATCCTTTATAAGAAATAAGCATCTCCACAGCAACTGAAGTGGGAGAGGATTATGATTTCAGAAGGATAAGCAGATAAACACCTAGGCAACAAAGATCATCTTCTTGTGAAAGCATCTTTTAGATTAATAAAATAGGGAATATGAAGCGCTAGTAGGAATGGTTGGTGGTTAGTATTTTAAGAATTTGGAACAGACTTGTGATCCATCATGAGACAGGATTAGACTCAGCACTGTACTTTTTCTAACCTTGCCCTCTTAAGATTACTATCGCAAGTAGAACTCATTAGCAGTTTTTTTCTGCAACATCATTGTATGAATCTACTTCCCAGATGCCCATCTTAAGTGCAGTCTACCAAAATCCTGACTTAGGTTTGTAACTTGTTTTAGTTTTTCTAATGACTAATAAAAGAATTATTGGATAACTGAAAATATTCAAGAATTTAAAAATAAAGTAGCAAGACTCATTCATGCACATAAAGACAATTTAAAGGCTAGAAGGTGAGTAACAATACTAGACAAGCAAATCTTGTTTTTTTTAAAAGAACTGTTTGTTTAATTCTCAGAGGAGTCCATAGACTGACAACAGTCAATTTCTGAATGAAGTGAAGGGGACGAAAGTCTGCTGTTACACTAGTAAAATGGAAAATATCTGTACAAGGAGCGTATGTTTTGATGATATCGCTTTGGATTATTTTAGGCAAGGACAGTGAACCAGGACAGCCCACCTGGAAAAAAAGATATTCTTAAGTGTTTGGAGGTAAAAATGGGAACACTTAGTTCTAGATTCTTGCTAACTTTTCTTCAGATTCTAATCTCATGTTCAGACTTAAATGATATGAAGAGCAATATTTAGATCAAAGGATTTTTTTTCTACAAAAAAGTGGAAAGTGAAAAAAGCAGTTTGATTACTTAACTTGGAATATTTCCCACTAAAAGTGAATGTGACTATACAGAGGTAAGAAAAAAATGTTCATTTCCTTGTTTTGAAACCAGCTTGTGCTATGTAACACTTCCTGATTCACTAGGATTTCCAATACAGTTTGGTATATTTAAACATTATAGTGAAAGGATATAACTGGGAAATATTCAAATTTTAACAGGATTTTTTTCTCTCCCCATAAGTTCTATCAATAAGTATGCTTGGAAAGCCTTAAGCATATATAACCAGTTATAAGTATAAATATATATTTTATACTCAACTAAAAACCCTACATGTAGTAAAGCAGCAGAATACTTTAAAAAACATGGCAACTTGGTAAATAAGATAAACTGGGAAAGGTTTGGCCCGCATCACAGCCCATTCCTGCAAACTACTTAATTTGCCTAGTTAAACTTTGGCCTTTTTTTCCCTTTAACGTAAAGATCAAAGGTGGCTAGACACGCAGCTCAACTATGAAAAGATTCATATTAACAAGCTATTCTGCTTGCTCATCAGCACATTCTTTAGCTATATTGTGACAATCCTGCCACATTTCAGATAAGTCAAATCTGTATTCCATCCAATACACATCTCCAGCTTTTACTTCTCTGCCGATTGTATTGTCCTCCCACTAACTTTTGTTCTGTTATATACTTTTATTCAGTACGCCTATACTGTTCACATCATCCCACTGCACTGGCCTTCAAAATCCAGATGTGTGACTGCATGGAGGGGGGAGGGGAGGAATAAACTTAAGTTTAGTTACCTAGGTGCAGCATTAAAAAATAGTAGGGGAAAAATAAGGGTGGTTGAAAGAATCTCATTAATATGTTCATCATAATTAAATCTACTCAAAGACACTAAAGTACAAACTGAAGAAATCTAAATAATGATTTTAAGATCAAAATTATTCTACCTGCTAAAACACAATTAAAGCACATTTATTTTTAAACTTGTACTACTGACCTATTTGTGACTTCACCCACAATATGCTCAGTTACACTGTCATTATTCTTATGTACCAAAGAATCAAAAACCAGTATTGAAGGTTTTTGTGGTATAAACCACTGACTGTTTCAGGAAAAGAGCCAGAATTATGAACACCATGGTCTACTGTTTAAAAAACAGCACTAAAAAAACTTAGCAGGAGCTGTGGGTCAGCCCCTGAGCAGCAAGGTATAAGGTTTTTTTAAATTTGTTTTCCAGCTCAAGAACGAGAAAATCCGCAACAGACCATTTTTTTTTTTTAATGATTCAATGAGAAAGATCCCATGAACTACCAGTGCTCAACTTTCTGGCAATGATGGCTTGGGGCCGGCCCGCAGGCAAGCAGGATTGGTGTGTAGGACTGTGCCATCTGAGCTGTGGGGAGCTCCATGGGCTGGAGACTGCTATAAAATAGGAAAGAACTGAAATAACTGACTTTTCACAGCTGAGTAAAACAGGATGCACAAGACCACATCAACTACATGTTTCCTTTGTTGGGGGGAGGGAGGGGTGTCACAGTCCTTTAAGTACTGTTCAAAATGAATATAAACTTTTAGGGTAAGTGTGCCATGTCACTACCTGCAGAGTGCTCTTATCCCACAAACAACGGGCAAGAAAAGGCCATCACCTTGGGCATTGGGGGCCAATTTTTTGGCAGACAGGCCACAAATCAGCCCTGGACCCCTAGTGCCACTCTGATCCTTTTCCCCTGGCTGCCCTGCGCTTCCTGCCACCTGCCCGATGCTCCCCAGTTGATCTGCTGTTCTACTTCCTGCTCTGTGCTCCCTCCTTGCTCTGCTTCCTGCCCTAGCCTCCCTACCCCCTCTTCTTTCTGCTGCCTGTCTTGGGCTTCCCCTGTGCGCAGCTTCCTGCCTTGTGCTCCCCACTCATCTGCTGCTCTGCTTCCTGTCCTGGGCTCCATCTCTGCTCTACTTCCTGCCAACTGCCCCCTGCTCCACATCAGCATTCAAATTACAGGGGACCTGAGCCCCTGAATAAGACATGAGAGCCCACCTATAAGGATTTGAAAATCATAACCTGCAGGGTCTCTGATTTTATTAGGGTATTGTGATGGGCAGCCCAATTTCTTTTGCAGACATCCCCCAGAAGACTCAAAGTGTAACTGGAAGCCTCCTCCCCACTGAACTACTGCTCCACTCGCTGCTCCCTGCCCTGCCTGCTCAGCCTCCTGCCCGGGGCTCCCCACCAACCTGCTTCTCTGCGGCCTCCCAGCCCCGCCCGTGGCGGGCGGCCCCGTGGCGCAGAGCT